CAGCTGCAGAGTGACCTGTGGTTTATCAGACATGACTCAAACAGTGCATGTATTATTCAAAATAGTATTCTGAAAAATGTGATTCATTTCAGCGTATTGGCATTACAGATCAAAGTACAAGTGTGTTTTGCTCTATGAAATATTAATGTTACAAAACTCAATTACCCAACAGTCACTCAAACAACAATGACTAAAATGGAGACTATAGCTGCCCTTGGTGTGAATCATACAGAGTGCAAATATTTTGGATCATTGTCAACTGTTCTGCTCTATTGGAAAAAAATCCATATAGACATAGTCATGGAACATTGTGGGAGCTTCTGTTTTTTTGTTTTTGTTATTAGGCCATGTTTTACATGGACCATGACAAATGAACACTACACTTGCTTTCTTACAATTTTACCAAAACACATTCATTATTAAGGTTCCAGACACAGATTACACAAGAGAAGTGAGCTGCAGAATTTGCTATCCGGACCACAAAGCACATTAGTAATAGATCTTTAGCTCCCTCTGTTGACAACAATGTGAAGAACTATTCATTACTACCTTTCACCTCAGCCTTTAGACCCACACTCATGGAGGGGGACAGGACCTAATCTGAAATAGTTAAGTCAAGGAAAAATTTCTAGGCAGTTAAAGTTTATCTAGCGATGCAAAAATCTTAAATCAATATCATCAGGTTGGACTCTGATTCAGTTTGAAAGGTTTCCTGACGTTTTGGTTAAATGCCACATGGACCTTACTGTGCAATGTTATGGTGAGATCTATAAAGAAATATACAATTTAACCATAAAACTTATATCAGTAGGCATCGTTGTAACCCCACTGTTATTATTTTGTTTCAGTCACTCATTAGTTGACTGTTTCACACCCGCAACCATCTGAATTTTCACAAGCAGAGATAATAGAAGAACAAATACATTTAAATAAAAGAAATTTCACTTTATTTTTCTTACAACCGAACAGAAATGCATGAGTAATGAAGATAATACTAACATACAGGTTTTGAGTTTAATATTTCTTACACTCATATACACAATAACAGGCTAATAGATCCATCATACCACTTCTTTTTTTTTTATCTCATACTCACACTTGTCGAATTTCTCCCTGGTCCTCTGGCTCATTAGCTGAATGTGTCTCGTTCCACTGCACTAGTGTCAAGTTGGCAGCCATCCTTCAGTTATCACAGTACTGTACCTTCGATGGGGACAGCATCAGCACTGTGATAACTGAACCAGGGCAGCCTGTCAAATCTAGCAGCCCATGGCTTCACTCCGTTCGTCATCCACCCGTTACATCCATGCTCTAGGTCAACAGGTGCAAAGATAAACAAAGTTTTCCTTTTGCTTTTATGCAGCTCATTTGGTGACATCTAATACAAAACATGCACAAGTTGCATCTCCAGCAATTCATACATATAATTTTCAAGTAACATTTTACATACTTTTTTTTAAAGTATCCTTCCCACCAAGGGTCACCAACAAGTCTTTTGCTCTCTAACCACGAGATCGTAACATTTAAAATGATAGAACATTCGAGGGGAAATATAATAAGACCATTAGAAAGTAAAGTCAGAGTGAAAAAGGTATAAAATAAAATATATTTCAAAGTTTGGGGATGTGAGTCCTTATGCTGTCACGGCCTCAAAGAATCTTCATTATCTAGGTTTCCTTTATATTATACCCTACTGTTAGTGTCAAAAGATTGTAGAGTTGGTGAGAGAGGCTCAGCCGTAAGTATTGGAAGTTATAATAAGCTCCTGCATGCATCTCAATCGGGACATTGCTCAGGGATTTTATCAGTTTATTTTGTTTCATTTATTTAGTCTGTCTGGCAAAAGAGAGACTCTGTTGTCCATATATGGTAAAATGGATGTTGTTGATTCATGAATGCTTTTAAGAGTAGTTAACATTACACAGTGTTGTTGTAGACTCTTTCTTATCACCCAGTTACATGGGTATTCCCTAAAAACAGTAACTATTTGTCTAATGCTGTGAACCACACATGGAAATCCCTTTGACATAGGACTTAAATGCTGTAAATGAAACTAATGATGATTGAAAATGTTTTTTATAATGCAGCACTAATTCTGTGCTAGGACTACAACTAATGATCGTCTTATTTTTTTCACATTTTTAGTTTTGATTAATTGATTAATCATTTAGTCTACGAAATATTAGAAACAGTAAATAAAAAAATACATTTACATTTTCTCTAAGCCCACAGTGACATCTTTAATTTGCTTTTGTCCAACCAAAACCTAAAGATATTCAATTTACTATGATATATGACAAAGAAAAGCAGCAAATCCTCCCATTTGAGAAGCTGAGATCTGAAAAAAGTTGGCATTCATGCTCAAAAAATAACTGAAACAATCAATCAAATATCAAAATTGTCACCAATTAATGTTCTTCTAAATGACTAATCAATCAATCGACTAATCATTGCAGCTCTAATTCATCCAACTTCTACCTGTGTCTGAATGTTGGACGGTGAATAATGCACACCCAGTATTAGAACTCAATGAGCTACTGTGAATCTGCAAAGCACATTGTTTGATTCTTGGAAAATGGAGGAAGACGTCTGCTTTTCAGCTTTATGTATTCCATCATGATGTCCATGTTTGGCAATATTCAGGTATTCAGTGGTTTAATTGTATTGCTATGTCTTTGTTCCCAGTCTGCTGGTGCACAAATGGCTCCTTAATGTGTCAATTCATGAAAACAGTTATTAAAACAACATATTTTTCCCCTCACCTCTTTTCCTGCTGGGAATTTGTAGAGGAAAACTGTTTTTTTTTTAATGTTTTTTTCTTTTAACTACTGTATATTATTCATACCAACCACAAGGCCAAGTGACGTCAGACTTGTTATGATCCTCCTTGCGGGCTCCGCCCCCCTCTCGAGCAGTCCGGTCGCGTCGCTGGCCGACGTAGCGGATCCTCCTCCTCCTCCCCGTCAGTCCACCCTCCTCACTTCTTGTAAACAACTCCATTAGCCCCGCTGCACAGGGCACTGGCCAAAAATGTTCATGTCAGACGTGGACAGCAAAGCAACATGTGCAATAACTAAATAGGGAAGAGGACACACACATTGTCAGGGCTGGGTGCTGCGTTTGTTGCCACCAGTGACTGTAAAAAGAGACCCCCGTGAAGAAAGCGCGTCCATATTACATAAACCCTCAATGTAAATAACTGGAGAATGGTTCACAACCTGTTAACAGTGAAGGCAAGGGATACACACCAGTGGTCCTGGTACTAACGCCACGGAATAAAGACAACAGCGCGAGCAGACATAAGCCGTGCTCATGCTTGTTGCTGTTTTCTACAAATAAACAAAAGTTAACCAAAGCTCAACAACGCCGTCATTTATGTCATTTCATAATAACATGCATACCTACTTTGAAATGGCTAAGCATGTCCTTTAAACACCGACTACAGGCAAAATACAAGTGCCATGTTCGTATTGAATATTGTGCAGCCAAACGTTAACGCCCAGCATTGCATACACACCCCTTTTCTGGGCAAAAACAAATAGCATGCTGTACAGGATCCAAATATAATCCTTTGTTAGTAATTACATCAACTCTGCATTAAATACAGAACAAATATTAAGATCACTCACCTGCAATTTCCCCGTTTAATTCCCCGTGTTTACATGAATATTTTTAATGACGCAGCAAGACCACACAGAGCAACGTGATTGTCGCCATTTTTTGTTGTTATTGAATTCTCCAAAGCCATGTGACAAAATGATCGTGGTTTTAAAAACAGGCTTCCGGGTGCGTAGACAAAAACTAGTTTCTCGAGGATAAAATAGGTTAATCTTCCGAGTTGTTTGCCTGATGGATTAGTCCGGTTACTCCACTGACTGGAGACTGAAGGCTGTGCGCAATGTTTGACAGCTCCGAGACGCTGCCGCCGCCGTATGGCTCGCAACAAGTACTCACTAGATTCCTCCCGTCCGCAAATGTTGCGCGGAATGACAGCGACTCATGTGCTTTTCTGCGCCCGCTGCCAGCAGCTCAAAACCATGACAAAATAGTCACTGTAAGCAATAATTAAAGCTCTGATCTGAGGGGAGTGCTGTCAACAAGTGGTGGAATCCAAGAATAGTCCACTTTTCAAATTAATGAGATGACATGCATCATATATAAACTCTCCTACAAATTTATTTATTGCAGAAATTAGTTTCAAAATTTTTACTTTGGTAAATAATAAGAAAAGTCAATTATTGGTGTGGTATAATTGTACCTATTATATCATATTGCAACTAAAATATGAATATTTTTATGGGATCCGCTGACATTATAATGGACACACCCTCCTTCTTCTGGTTGTTATAAATTAGCAGCATGACACTTTGTTTCTATAAAATCCCTGTAATAAACCATTACATCTTTTGGAGCCGAGATTATTAAAATTATTAATTATTTATCAATTTCTCATTGAAATATGTGCAGATCAAAACAGCTGTATAATAAAAACTTCCCAAACAGGCTGCACGAGGACAGGATTTTGTCTTCTTTTCTTCTTCCTCCTCCTCTTCGTTTTTTTTTTTAGACAGACAGACAGACAGACAGACAGACAGACAGACAGACAGATAGACAGATAGACAGATAGATAGATAGATAGATAGATAGATAGATAGATAGATAGATAGATAGACAGACAGACAGACAGACAGACAGACAGACAGATAGATAGATAGATAGATAGATAGATAGATAGATAGATAGATAGAAGTTTCCTGTGACTGTGTGCTTTAAAATACAATCGTGATTATTACAGTTTCCCATCACTTCAGGAAAAATATAGCCACTGACTGACATGAACAGGCTACTGTTGTGCATCAGTTTTAAATAAAAACTACAGTAACCAGTTTACCCCGCGAAGTTTGTGCAAATCCGTCATCCGCATTTTTTCTGGATGATATGCGCAGGAAAGTAGGGCGTTGTGGAGACTCCCTCATTCATTCGCAGGGGAAAGTCTCCGTTCTTAAAGACGTAGACGGGCGTAATGTGTCTATAAGAGAGCCGAAACAACAAGAAAAAAAAAAAAAAAAGGAAAAACGCGTTTGCCTTGATCCGAGTCACAGAGCAGGATAGTCCCAATGTGTGCAGAGAGTAGGCTCTGCGTAAAGAACCGACGCCAGAGATAAGCTGAAATTTACATTGGCAAGACTAGTTTATAAGCCACTCAGGCTTTGGACCCGCCAGACCGCTCATGCGTGCAGCTGATTAGGATTTTAATTAGGAGGCAATTTACTTGGGTCACAAACAGGAAAAAAAACTAACATTTGTGTAGCCTATCCCAGAGGTTTTACAGTAGCAGCCCGTTTCTGAGGAAGACATGGCTAAGTTATTCCGAGCTGCTATCATGGGTCCACCAGGATCAGGGAAAGGAACGATATCCAAGAGGATTGCGCAAAGCTTTGGCCTGCAATATCTGTCCAGTGGCCACTATCTACGAGAGAGCATAGCGGCAAATACAGGTAGGATACGTGTGCCCATGTACAGTAACCCTAACCTCAGTACAGTGGTGTCATCAGGAAGAGTGAGTCTGCTGGGGGAAAAAAAAAGTTGCTCAAACGCGTCATTTTGTGTTGCGTATGTGAGTTTGACAGTTCCGATGTTTTCTTCTTCCTAGTATCACTAGAATTGTCGCAAACATGTAATTATAACTCAAAAAGATTATAAAGAATTTGCAGAGGGAAGCAAATGGAGACAGGAGACAGTTGTTTCCTTGAAGCTCATTTGACAGGAAACCTTCATCCTTCACCCATGAGCCAGAACACGAGCTAACTTCGTTTTTCTTTCTCTGATGTCAGTCTGGTGGAGAGTTGACTTGTGAAAAGGTCCAACGCCAGTCAGTCCTTACGCCCTGCCAAGGCTTTTGTTGCAATTAATATTATAATTTAATTTAATAGTAATTTCTCCAAACGTAGTCCACACTTTAAACCGTTGATTGTGTCTTTAAACTTCCTCACCAACTGGAATTCATTTAACTCCCAGCATGTGCCAAGCTCATGTATACCGATAGTGAAATTGAGCTCAGTGCAGAGAGCCTAAGTACAAACATGTGTGCTTGGCAAAATGAAATGTTACAGTGAATTTGTAACTTGCTGGATAGTGTAACTAACTTTTCCCTTTTGAAATAAGTTTTTTAGGGTTCATAAACCAGTGAACTCAATAGGTATGTTTGTTCGCTGAATCCAGTGACCTGGTGTGAATGTTGATTTAATCAACTACAGCAGGCTCCAGAGTTTCCAGTGTAATTTTAAATGAATAAAATCACAGGCGTGGTGACAGTTTTATATCATTTTTATTTATTTTTTTATCGCATAACCAAGAATCAGGAAGCAGAGGCTGATATGCATTGTCTATCTTTACCTGTCTGTTGTGTATCAGATGCAGGTGTGCTGGTGAGGACCTATGTAGAGAGAAGCATGCTGGTTCCTGACCATGTGATGACCAGGCTGATGCTGCCCAGATTGGAACAGCTGAGCAACCACAGCTGGCTGCTGGACGGTGAGTAAAAACAATGTTTTTGTTTTTATTACACAATCATAGTGTATGGTCTGTACACTATGATAAACCAGGTTTACACACAGCAGACTCCACCCTTTGCCTTTGATTGTTGATTGAACTGCCTGCCACCCCTTAAATCTGATTGGCCACCTAAGGTGCCACCCCCCCAAAAAATCCAGGAACTGATGTTAGAGGCAGGGCCATCAGTCAAGCTTTTTTTCTTTTTTTTTTTTACACCACTGCATTTTCAGAAACATGGCCCCCAAAGTGCCTTATGCAGTGCCCCCTTTACTTGAGTCTGGAAAAATATGCTCTACATTATCCTACATCTGTGAGTAATTAGTGCTTTGAGGTACCTAACCCAGTTACCAGCAAGATTATACATGCTCCCAATTTACAGTAGTCATGGAGGATTTACTGTGCATCAGATTCAAATAAAAAGTCAAAGATATTCCTCCAAAGTGACAGTGTTCTCTGTTCTTTTTTGACCTCTATTGCAAATTTCTCAGTTTATGATGTGTTCACATCCAGTGCCAAGTTTCACTCAGTAACCTTTGTCACAACATAAGTCAATTACATATTACATGTCAATATATTGTCCATTTTTGTATATATATATATATATACATACATATATAAAATACTTCACGTTTTTGCTATGCATATACAAAAGTACAAGCACGGGTTACAAATGGCCAAAATAATGGAGATCATTGTCTAGCCACAGTTAAATATTATCCACTATCTTCAAGAGAGATGACAAACAGAGATGAAACAAACTGGTCAGTGTTAAACTGGTTTAAACCTTGAAACACGATCAGCGAACAAACAATTTAGCAAGAGAAGGGGCAACAGAAATCAAGGTTACTGACACACACATGCACACACACACACACACACACACACACGCACACATGCATGTTCATCATGTTTATCTCATGACTCTGAATGGCTGGGTTATTAGTGTCAGCAGATTGATTTACATGGTATTTTTCACTACGTTTTTGTGTTTTCCAATAAATGTATTTCATACTGGTACATTTTCATGCTCCAATCAACACAGACACATCTACAGTATATCGCCAAAAAATATACAGCACTATATGGACATAATTGCCTGCTCTCAGTCTCTTTCCCTCCTATAAGCTTTAATTTGTGCATTCCTGTCACTCATTTGTTGGTAACATGATGCATTGATGGTTAGAGGGATTTAACAGCTCTTTATTGACCAAACAAAGGAACAAACAGAGTGACTGCCAGATTCCACTGTAATGCATAAGGAAGCAATAAACTTCAAGGACAAGCCCAAATTCATGCATACAATACCAAACCATACTAAAAACAAAAGAAGGTCTTGTGGTTTTAGAGAGACAATGGCCTTAACACTGGAAGACAGTACATGTATTCTCGCCATGTCAGCAAACGCCTGCCATGCTGAAGTGTCCTTGAGCAAGGCACTGTCCTGTAGGTCACCTTGACCTCAGATCATGAGAGTGGGGCAAGAGGTAAAAGAGATTATTCACTGTAGACATTGTGGCAAAGTAATGGGACAATTATCCAATGATCCAATCACAAAATGCATTTCCTAACACAAGTGGAATAAAAGACAGCAGTTCTGGTTCTGGTTTTCTGTGTTTACTGCTGGTTTGGGCCACTGCCGTGACATTTCTTAAAGACATTCATAGTGCCTAGAAGGAGAATGTTACTGACCTTTCCTCTAGGACCACCATGAGTTTGATTTTTTTTTTTTTTGTGATAAATGGATTGCCATGAAATTTGGTTTAGATATTCATGTTCCCCAGAGGGTGATTTCTGCTGACCTTGGTGATCACCTGACTTTTAATTTATCACTATCAGGTGAAAGTTTTTTCACTTGTCATGTAAATATTTAAATGTCTAATAGATAGCACAGATATTTGAGACATTCATGGTTCCTAGACAAAGCAATAACTTTGACGATGCTGACTTTTAATCTAGGGCTGTCATCAAGTCAAAGTTTCAGTTTTTCCAATATATATATATATATTTATGATAAAGCAAAGCTTAAGACATTGCCACCAGGTTAAGCTGTATTTTGTGTTTAGTTCTAATTAGCAAACGTTAGCATGCTAACAAGCTAAACCAAGATAGTGATCACACCGGCTAAACATCAGCATGTTAGCATTATTATTGTGAGTATGTTAGCATGCTGATGTTAGCCTTTAACTTCAAAGTACAGCCTCAGAGAGGTGCTAGAGTAATTGTAGCTTGTGTCTTGTTATTACTACTGGTGGTTCCTCCATGTCACGTAACTGAGACCATTGTATGTTTCAGTAAGTTCATGCACATGTGCATAATCTTGTTATAATGTCACGGCTCCAGACCATTTCACTGGAAACAGCTTAAGTCTAAATTTACTTGCTCTCAGCTGCTGATATTATCAAACATTTAAACGGGAAATGACTCTGTATGTATGAAAGTGCATAATGGCCTTTTATTCATGTACAGAATGTTTTCACAATGATAATCAAAACTTAAAAAAGACAAATGGACCACAGTTTTGAATGGAGCTGACAGAAAAATTAAAGGTCATATATCAATATATTATCATTATCATCCCTCTCATAAAATGCCTGTTTTATAAGACGATGGCTTGACACATTCACCCTCCTCCCTCTGCTCTCTGTCAAGGTTTCCCTCGGACGCTGGCGCAGGCCCAGGCCTTGAACAGTCTGTATCAGCTCGACTTGGTTATCAGCCTCAATATACCCTATGAGACTCTGAGAGAGAGACTGAGTGACCGCTGGATCCATCCAGCCAGCGGTAGAGTCTACAACATGGGCTTCAACCCGCCACGAGTACAGGTCCCAGAAGTCTAGATGGATGTGACAGTGTAGTCACACTTCATTGATTTTCTTCAGGACATTTTGTCCTTTCAGTTTCTTCCCCCACACAATCTGTTTCGGTGTGTTTTTGAACTGGTAGAGATTTAGTGTCTTGCTTCAGCAGGATAGAAGCTTCAAAATCAAAATGATGAGGGACAGCATCCATAGTCACTACCCCACCCTACTGCACAATGACACTCCTGCTGCTTGTTATTTCACTTTACAGAGTCGTTGTCATACTATTTTAATAAACTAGTTAACTAAAATCTATTCAATAACTTATATACAGCTAAAAACAAATTTTCAAAGTGCTGCCACTAACTTTTAAGAAATTATTAGGAAGTAACAGGCCTGTAAAAGTAAAGCATTACCATTAATTACAGTAGAAGCCAATTTGTGAAAATAAGCCTCAATAAGTTTTTTTTAAAGAGGACACTGTCAATTCTGCAGACAGAATTGTGGCTTCTTCTTTCCTTGACAGCAAATGCCCTCTGTTCACAGCACCACTTGTTTGCTACTTGACTTTGGGGGCATTTACCATTTGCTTCGGAGCATGGTTTACACAGCTTCACCACAGGAAATTAGTCACAGTTTTTTTAAATTAAATATTATGCAGCAAAGAAAGACGGGAAAAGAGGAGTTGTATTTTATTGTTTATTATTGTATTTTAGGTGGACAATAGCATTCATGCATGAAGCTTTTTGTGAGCTTGAGATAAGAGGGAGCTGGGAAGCTGTCATGAACTTTATATCTTTATATAATATATGAGTTCCAAAAGGAAGATCCTGACATAATATGATAAGGACTGTAGATATGTGTGAGTTACTGTGTTGTATTGTAATCCCCTCTGCTCTCTTGACTTTACCTTTCTTGCATCGTTGCATCTGTGACCTTGTGTTGGCTTCCTCAGGGTAAGGATGACATCACCGGGGAGCCACTGATTCAGCATGATGATGACAAACCAGAAGCCCTGATGGCCAGACTGAGACACTACAAGGATGTGGCCAAGCCTGTCATAGACTTATACAAGTCAGTAAATACTCACCTTGCAGAGTGAGCAGTCTGCAAATATTTTTAGTGGTGATTTCCCCAAAATGCACCATATATTTTTAGATTTATTTCTAACAGGCAGTGCGTAGTGTCAGTTTTTGCTGACGACATATGAACTGAGATTCAATCTGCACTGAGATAGACAAGGCTGGATGACATCAGATAGTTGATCTGATGTCAGCACCAGATTTTGACAAATAAGAGAAATGGGTGGAATAAGAAAAAAAAATATTTTTCAAAACTGTCCATTGTTTAGCAATGCTAAACTGGTGAAGCGCTCTTTTAACATTTACAACTGTTATAACTGTAGCTACAACCTGCTTTCCTTCTTTTTTGTGGTTTCATCACTCAGGTCACAGGGAGTCCTGCACTCATTCTCTGGTACAGAGACGGACCGGATTTGGCCTTATATCAACTCTCTCCTCAGCACCAAGATGCACACGCAGCCATCAGACGCCTGCCAGACACAGACGCCCTGACAGCACTCTGAAAGAAAAGACCACAGGGAGACATCAAGAGGCCGCCAGAGGAAGTGGGGTTATGTCTCTACACGCTGGCCTCAGTGTCAGCTTTCAGGTTCTTCCTTAATGATGGAGTTCAGAGAAAAGGACCAGAACTGTAGTCAGCCAACATGTTTTTGTGTCAATCACTAGTTGTTGGGTTTTTTTTCAAAGGAATGGTTGGATGCAATTATATTGTGTATTGTGCTGGGTTCCATATTATCATAGGGAAATATCAAGATTCATTGAGATCAAAACTGATCACTTTTTTAAATCATTAATTTTACAAAAGCACTAATGATCAAACAAAGCCTTTAACTGATGTTTTATTTTTAATTGTTGAACACTGAATATAAATCTCGATCAGACAAAGGTGGTGAAATCAAAGCGAAATGTGGAGGAAAAAGTAAATACAGAATGCTGGATATTTTTTTTTTTTTTACATTAACTCTCCAATATTTTATTCATTAGATCCAACAACAGAGTGAAATGCTCAATAATATTAAACCTAAACAAAAACATTAAATATATGACACTAAACTATAAAATGATAAAGAAAAAAAGATTGTTGGTACAGTACAAGAATAAAACTCTAATGAAAGCAAATATGAAATATTATCTTTTCACATTTGATCAATTCCACTTTAAATAATATTTTTTATAGTGAAGCAAACAATATCACATTGTTACCGCTGTGAATATACATATAATTTTGTGGAGTACAACTCCTTAAATTACTCCTCAGTGTGCAAACTGAAACTGGGGAGTTTTAGTTTTTACTGAGTACAATGCGCACAACAAAATCCTTTATATAAAGTTCAGTCTAACTATACAGTAGCTTGAAGTTACAGATTAATTGAGAGCAATGCTGACACTGTATCTAAAACCAAACTCTCTTTTCTCACTGAACTGAAACTTTTGCGAGACTGTGAGCTGTACATGATGCCTACAGGTCAGCTGTTACTTATGTAACTATTCCGCAGAATTTGTTTTTATTTTCATCCGCTCAGTGTTTCTCGATTATATCCATCAATTACATAAATAATTTAACAGCTATTCTTTAAGTTTGTGCTGGAATGCTGCTGAGTCATATGGAGTCATGTTTGGGCTGGTGCTGGACTGGTACACAAAGCACCCACTGTCACTCCACAGCACACTCTGTGGCTGGGATGAAGACCAATGCAGAGAATATAGTGCCTTCAATGTTGTTACATTCCTTTAAATACACGATAAGGTTGCTCTGAGATTTTGAGCTTCAGAATATCATGATATGTTTGTTAGACTGTAAAGTTTGTGCAGTGTTTGTCCAATTTAAAAAAAACACTGTTGGGTTAGGAAGTAATAGGTCACTTTTATCATTCTGACAGGGTCATTTCTGTAAAGCTCTTATTTGTCAGATTGTTTTGTGTAAATCATTGTTTCAGGGTGGACAACTGTTTCAGTCAGAAATGACGCACAAAATAGCACAAAATGTGAGTTTGCCTTTTACAGTAACACTAACAGGTGCAATAAAGACCAAGAGATATGTTTTAATTGTTTTTGTCCTGTCAGTTTTGAAACGTTCTACCCATAAATAGCAAGATACTAATTCAGTAATTGACCACAGGTAACACAGCACATACAAAAAATATTTTCTGTCATTTGCTTTATGAGGTTAAAGAAATGAAGAAATTATGATTTTTTGTTTGTTTGTTTTTCTTGTCTGGGGTCAAAGGTCATGGGTGTTTGTGTTGTTTACAGATTGTAAAGCTCTTTGAGATGATTTTGAGTTGACTTGACTATGATACTGTGGGATCAAGATCAAATAAGATAAAACATTCTTTCACTAATGAATTTTGTTGCTTGGGTGACAACTGGATAAGATGCCTATATTTACAAAATGTCAGCAACTTGCCTGTACTTGTCTCAGTGTCTTCAGCAGCAAATGTCTGTAGATGTTCATTTGATAAAGTAGGAAGTCGTCTGTAGAGAGCAGTTGATTTACACTTTGTTTTTGGTTGTGGAGCTCAGTGTGCCCTCTCAGCCTGTTGAATAAATGGGTGTGGTGTAAACGTGTTGAGTTGTACATGACCACAGCCCAGTGCTTTCGTGCCACAGTGGATTTGATTTTTTTTTTTCTTTTATATTTTTATACCACATGTTACATTCCAAGAACAATAAACCTATTTAATCTTGCTGCTTTCTTTTTTCTTTGTATGTGACTAGTTGTTAAGCAACACACCTGCTGCTGTTAATCTACTATGTTTTACAATCAGCTGATGTTTTGTGTGAGACACCTTCCACAAATCCATAACAGACCACATTTCCACCCATCTAACCTGTAAAGAGATAACTGGTGTCTTTTTTTTTTTTTTTACTATTGAGTTTATTGTAATCCTTCAATCCATTTGCTTTTTACCACTGAGATTAAATATTCAGTCCGTTTGTGGAAGGTGTTTTATATTTACAGATTACACATTTACACACTGATTGTCAATCCTTTATCACGAATAATATTGACACAAATCTACCTCCATACTACCGGCTTTAGATTTCTTTCTTTCTGTCTTGCTTTCTTTCCAGCAAACATATAAAATAGTGGAAAACAACTTTGCTCCTCCCTTCTTTGCTCCTTGATCTTTCATATGCGAGAAAAACAGGAAGCAGCAGGACGTGCAAACTTGCACTTAACACAGAAGCCACAGTGGTATTCGCTCTGAAGACACACGCATGCACGTACATAGAAATACTGTCTGTATCTCCTCCTTTCTGGTCTAATCCTCTCAGCTCTGTAAATAAACCCCATGTGCACATAGTGGAAGTCCCGCTCCACTGTCACGGACCACAGCCTGATTAGTTGTGTTTACCTCTGACAGAGTGTTCGTGCATGCGTGAACCAAAATGAGGAACAGTATTCTCACCTGCATAACACGAGGGTTATAACCACAGTACGCCCAAAACCTCAAACGCAACACAACAATTTTTTTTTTTTTTTTTTAAATCCCCTCTTGATCATTGTTGTTATGGGGACATCTACTGTAGGAAAGTGGTGTTCTGCTCATGTGGCATCCAAAAATAGACCTACTTAATGCTGCTTTCAATCTCCATGATTTTTTTTTTTTTTAATTATAGGTGCATATCACCAGTATTGTTTTCTCGATTACTGCAGATTTCCCATAGCAAATTCGCATGAGGACATCCATTCAGACCGTTTCTGAAGTCCACTCAGGGTTTTACCGGACTGGTTCAGCTCAGGCAGGATGCGCTGAGCGGCGCAGTTTCTGCTCTACAGATCCACGAACATCCACACCCCCTCTGGCCTACTCGCTTAAGCCCATCCACGTCCTCTACAGATCTACCACTCGCCATCGCGGTACCTTGTTTGTAGCTCATATGCCAAAATGTGATTTTATGATGATGCCGTATAGTCTGTTGCCACCTCTGTAAATTTTCCCACAGGTGAACTGGGAACAACCGGGGGAATCCTTCTAACACAGCGTGTCTCGCGGGACGTTTTAACGCTTTGACCTTTGATTGGCAGCGAATGACAAATCAAAGGTCGGTGTCTGTGAGCGGAGCCGGGGTTCAAAGCGCATCTCCACCACGGCACAAGACGGCGCTCCCGGGAGAATGGTAGAAACCGCTCTGCAAGGTAAAGCATATATTTTTACTCATCTGATATGATTCAAGGGGCATGTTTTATAGGCTTTCTGGTACCTGAAACCAGCCTGAGTGGAAGGGAGCATCACGATCTGTGTGTGGATGTTACATAATATCAGGATACCTCTGGATATTCTGACCACTTCTCCCCCACAGTGCATCTGTGCTCGGTGGACAGGGACGTTATCACCGACATACTCTAGTTCCAGGAGGAAATGATCTGTTTGTTTGTTTTTGTCAATTATATGAGACACATTCATTTAAAATCACAAACTTGTCTCTGTGCTCTATTTGGCCTTTATTTGACTAGAAGCGCACACGAGCATCATAAATGACATCATTTGGGTTATTTTTGTCAGGGGTGTCGATTTATTTTTCCTTTTTTTCCTTATTTTACATATGATAAACCCTAAGTCATCGTTTCTGCATGAGGATCACTGTCACTGCTTTTATCCTAACGATAAATGACATGAATGAGTGGGAAGGCTGGATTTTTCTGTCAGCTGATGATTTCGGCGACGGCATCCCAGGACACCTTTAAAGGCGCATGACAGCTCTGTCCGCAGATCAGTTTTATGATCTCAACACATCAGAGTGTTTAGAGACACTAGTACAGATAAAACCTCAGTTATGTCTCTTCTATCTTCATCATCATCATCATCATCATCATCATCATCAGTATTATCAGAAATTACCATCTCCATCTTCCAGGGCTGCATGGCTCTAGTCTATATGTTGAGAGGACAGCTCCTCTCTTGTGTCGTCCAATAGCGCTCAGTCACGTCACCACCATCGTCAGGCACATCACGTGAGCAGCTTAACACAGCTTGGTGTGGTTTCATGTTCCCATCATGAGCCACTGAGTCAGCTTTTGCTCCAGGGGATATTGTTCATCCCTGAGGGTGAAGTGGGTTAAAACAGGCAAATAAGATAGACACCCAAGTCAAAGCAAGTGATTTTTACTGTTAAAGGTGTAGAAAGTAGTATTCATATTGGTTTATGGTGCAATAAAAACAGCAGGTGTAGCTACAAGGGGTTTAGGAGACTTTTCTATGGTTAAGGACAATGACTTATAGTAAACAGGTTGGAAATCAGTGTCATATTCAGCAGCATTGAGCGGTGTATATGCTGTTTCAGGTTTTACTATATCAAGCACAAGAATCCTTGGATTACAGAATCTAACGACTCACAGACTCCGTATCACAGATTGAAGTCCTCTGTCCGTCTTGTTAAGTGAGTCCTGCAGCTGATCCAGCAGATTCCTGGATTCTGCTTTAACTGTTATGGGGATAATCATTAATCCTCAATACATCCTTGAGGATGATGGTAAAAACTGGTGATAACAGTGATACAACTTTCTTTTAAGATACAGGGCTGTGGTCAGTATCACATTACAGCGATGTCATAAAACAGTTAAAATGACATTGAGCACTGCATTTAAAGGTTTTTTAGGGATGCTTAAAAGAGAGATGCAAATGAAAGTCATGATAAGGTCTCCTCCACTGTAATGCCAAACCCACAATAAGCCTATAGAATATCCAGTGTGTATGTGAGGCGGGTTTGTCAACAGGTCTTTGTTTTTGTACGTAAGAGCAGCTATAGGAAATCTGTCTTACAGTGTCACTGATGGCAGTGCAGGTCACAAAGGCAAGTGCGACATGGGCATTTTCTTATTGTTGAGAGCCAGTTGCCCATTATGCTATAGTTGCCCCACATCCATTAGAGTTAAACTAGGATCTGTAACCCTGAGCAGAAAACTGTTATACTTTTAGGGCTGCAACTAACGATTATTTTCATTACTGATTAATTTATTAATGATTGATTATGATTATTTTATCAGTTAACCAATTATTCCTTTTGCCTAAAAATATTGAAACATGCACATTGGCCTATAATTTCCCTGAGCCAAAGGGGCCATATTTAAATAGTTAGTTTGGTCTGACCAACAGGATGTTAACTCTGCTATTAGATGAATATGCATATTAGTATATGACAAATAAAAGCATCAAATCGTCTCTTTTGAAAAGTTGATACCAGTGAATGTTTAGTGTTATTGCTTGAAAAATGACTGAAGCAGTTAATTGATCAACCAAATAGTTGATAGCAAATTTTCGGTTGATGGACTTAGCAATTAATATGCTAATCATTTCAGCTCTATTTGCTGTTTGATTGGGTTTTGGCTTGACAGGTTTTCGTATTTATAAGCTAACCATTAAATTACATAACCTCATTGAGATTTGGATCTCTTTTGCAAATGAGACCTGAGAGAGAAAGAAAAACAAACATAACCAGACATGTATTTGACTTCATATCCAAAATCCTTGATCTTGCTGTGATGTGGCAGAGATTTTGATGCCCTGCTGTATCATAAACATGCACAGTCATGAGGGCATCAAGGGGTAAACATTAGTAGGCACGGTTAGAAACAAGACAGGAAGCTCCATTGCAACAATGGAGCGGCAGTACGTTGCGTCCGGTTATGGCGGGTCCATCATTCCTTCCTTCTGGACATTCAGTTCCTGCTGTGCTTTGAGCTCCCGTCTGCTCTCCCAAAAACAGTTTCCCAGGCTCATGTCCTCTTTTCAGAACCATGCAGGGTTTCCGTTGCCAGGGGACAAGGCAAAGGAAGGAAGCATGCCATCAGTGGTCAGTGTTTTGTCCTGCTTGGCCCCTGGGTAATAACACAAAAAACTGGAGCTAAAAATGACAAATTTGGAGGTGAAATTTCAAATGTGTTAGATTTTAATGTTATTACAAGGAGCCTGTTAACATCCAAGGCTGCTATTAGTCGAGAAGTGAGTGAGAAAATTCCCTGTGATGAAGAGTGAGTTTCCTTTTTCTGACAAAGCATGGTGCTGTTGTCTTGCAATGTTGACTTCGATGCTCCTCTTATTTTAATCTTATATTAAGTTAAGGCTAGTTGTCCTCATTCATTTTCGGTGCAGGTCTCAAATGAGAAATTTGCTCCATTATAGGCCTACACTCATAATTTGCTCCTTATTTATACCCAAGAAAGCAGGTCACACTGCAGCACTATAGCAGGAGGGGCTTTTTAAATGAACTCAGGGGATCCCTGCGTTTATATGCACTGTCCTCCATGGGACTTATGTTTTTTAAATAGATGGCACTGAAAGTTTCATACTTCTTAACACACTTTATCTTCTGTGCCTCTTGACCATGTACACTCATTGATGGACATCCTCCATCACAATACGACCATAATTCATCCGTCTTGCTTTAAAATGCAGCAGTTTTTTATTGACTTAAAGATGTAATGATTTGGTCAGTTGACAGCTACTTTTATAAATCAGTTGAGTCACTTTTAAAGCAAACTTGCCAAAAGATTTGCGGGTACCACTGAGTAGTTTCTACAATTTGTCTTATGTCTAATATCATTATGAACATCTTTAGGTTTTTCATATATTAGTTGGACTCTGGGGCATTGTGATGGTCATTCTTCACAATTTTCTGACATTTTAGACAAAACGATTAATCAAGAAAATGTTCAGCAGATCAAAAGATAAAGAAAATAATTA